CCTGACTGGACTGGAGACACTGCTGTCCCTCTCCTCTCACACTGCCCCTGAATTCACACACTGACACACCCCTGACTGGACTGGAGACACTGCTGTCCCTCTCCTCTCACACTGAGACACTCCTGACTGGACTGGAGACACTGCTGTCCCTCTCCTCTCACACTGCCCCTGATTTCACACACTGACACACCCCTGGCTGGACTGGAGACACTGCTAGAGACACTGATTTGTTTTCTTCGTACCAGCCAGAGCTCCTATACGATGAGGTGTTTCATCGTGACTTTCGTGTCCCATGCTGGTGAGCAGGTGGTGGTAGCGGAGACCTTTGACGAGATCGTGAACGACGCCTCCAAGGACGTTCTGATCGAGTTCTACGCTCCCTGGTGTGGACACTGCAAGAACCTGGAGCCCAGATACACTGAGCTGGGCCAGCAGGTGGGGTTTCAGCCATTGGGCATGCACACCTGTCCCGTCCTGGGGCTCGGGCGCGCCTCTGCTGACGCGCTGCCTCTCTGCTCTTGCAGCTGTCTGGGGACCCCAATATCGTGATCGCCAAGATGGACGCCACCGCCAATGACGTCCCGGAAGGCTACGACATTCAGGGGTGAGGGAACAGAGTGACTGGGCGTCAGTCACGCCTTCTTCGTCTTTGTCATCATCAGTTTGGGAACCCCCCACCCTACCACCATGCACCTGTCCCGCCCTCCCTCTCTCTCCCCTGCTGTTTTCAGCGTGAGCTGTTCTGAATCTTGCAGTGGGTCATATTCAAGTAAATAATCCTTATACTTATATAGCACTTTTCTGGACACTCCACTCCAAGGGCTTTACAGGTAATGGGGTCCCCTCCACCACCACCAGTGTGTGGCCCCACCTGGATGATGCACCAGTAAGCTCCCCACACACCAGCTCTCAGTGGGGAGGAGAGCAGAGTGATGGAGCCAGTTCAGAGACAGGGATTATTAGGAGGCCATGACTGGTAAAGGCCAGGGGGAGATCTGGCCCAGGACACCAGGGTAACACCCCTACTCTTTTCGAGAAACACCCTTTTTAATGACCACAGAGAGTCAGGACCTCAGATTTACATCTCATCCGACGGATGGCGTGTTTTTACAGTATAGTGTCCCCTTCACTGTACCGGGACATTAGGAGCCACACAGACCGCATGGTGAGCGCCCCCTACAGGCCCCATTAACACCTCTTCCAGCAGCAACCTTAACTTTTGAAGGAGGTCTCCCCTCCAGGTACGGACCAGGCTCACACCTGCTGGGCTCCAGTGGACTGCCAGCTGGGAGCTGCAGGGTGATACGGCTGCTGGCGGTACATGAAAACAGAGCCAGGAGAGGGCGTCGATGATCTGAGAGTGCAGATGCACACCTGGCCTCATTCTCATGAAACCTGTCTGTTCTCCGATTTCCTCTCAGATTTCCCACCATCTACTTTGCCCCAGTGGGCCAGAAGGCCGCCCCCAGGAGATACGAGGTGAGTGCCAGGCCGTCGGGCTCGCCCACAGACCTTCACTCGCTTCACTCTGTCCGAACTGACGCGCTCCTGCGCGGCGGCCGTCCTGAGCCAGCGAGCCGCCGGGTTTGGGGGGGCGGGGGGGGCGTGTGCGCGTTGCCCGCCGCAGAGACGCCTGACGGCGTGTTTTCTGGCGCTTTCCAGGGCCGGCGGGACGTGAAGGATTTCCTCGAGTACCTGAAGAGGGAGGCGAGCCACGCACCTGTCCTGCACGGAGCGAGGGAGGACCTGTGAGGAGGAGGAGAGAGATGGAAAACAGCAGGGGGGGAGAAATGAGGGGAACGAGAGGGGGG